CCAGGATGAGCCCCTGGGCACAGAGACAACGTGCCAGCATGGATCAGCACCATCCCAGGACACGGGGCAGGATGTGGCTCACGAGGCTCTTCCTGCCTCCCTGCATTCTACCCCCACAGCCCTTCTGCTTCCTCCTCCCTCCCCAGAGCCACACTGAACAGCAGCCTCGGCCCTTCAGGCCACGGCACACAGCAGTGCCCATCTCCCCTGGGCAGCCCAAACCAGGACAGGCAGCCCCAGGCAGCAGCAGAAGCCTCAGCAGCGCTACAGGAGGGACAGACAAACATCCCTCAGACCCTGGGGAAGGAGAAGGAAGCACAGGGAATGGGATTCCTGTTCCTTGAGCTGGAATGACATCCCACAGCCAACACGCAGGCACAGGGCGATGCTCAGCTCGCTGGCTCTCACCAGCACACGCCTCCTGTGCTCTGCCAGCAGCTCTGTGGGGTAAGCACCCGGCTCCCAGGGGCAGGGAGGGAGGGAAGAGAGGAAAATCCTCCCTGGGGTGTTACAGAGTGCTGCACAGGCAGCACAGGATCAGGCTCCTGCTGGGGATCTCCAGGCAGGTGACACAAACTCCCTGCAGGGCTTGGCAGGGCAGGGCACTGACTACGAGGAAGCAGCTGGGACAAAAAGTAACATTTCCCCGGTCCAGCCAGCACCTGCAAACATCTGGGGAGTCACCCAACCTCCTGCTGCCCCAGCTCAGCCATGAGCTCCCACAAAGGGGTCAGGGACTGTGCAGACCCAATGGCTTTCCACAACTCACCAAACCCCAGGCTGTGGGGTCAGCAGCATCCCCCACACTCCCAGGACACCCCAAACCCCAGGCTGTGGGGTCAGCAGCATCCCCCACACTCCCAGGACACCCCAAACCCCAGGCTGTGGGGTCAGCAGCATCCCCATCCCCTGCCACGCGTAGGACACGTCCCATCACAGGCACCAGCTCGGTGTCAGGGCTCGGGGCCAGCCAAGGGCAGCCTGGTTTGTGTCAGCAGTGCCAAAGCAGGCAGGGAGGGGGGCGAGGGGACCCTGCCCTGCTGGGCACCAGAGCTGAGGGTGCCTGTGAGCAGCCAGGGCTGCTGCAGGGGCTGAGCTCAGCTGCAGTGCCCCGAGCTGGGCACACTCAGCATGGACACACAGCTCTGAAGGCGCCTTTGTTTCCCCCCAGCTGAGCTGTCCCCTCCGTCTCCCTTGTTCAACATCCTCCAAAATCCAAGGGGGGAGGGAGGGGGCAGTCAAAGAGGCCTGTGATCCCAGGAGGTGCCTGAGCAGAGCCCGGGGGAGCGCAGGGAGGCAAGGAATTCATTTCCTACGCTCGTTAGGCTTCCAGCCTGAAGGAGCTTAACGAGGGGGCACAGGAAGCGAGGGGAGATTGCTCCAGGGGGGCAGCAGGGGATGGCTGGACACCCAAAGTCACCTGGCAAGCAAGGAGCAGCACAGACACTCCTGCCAGAGCTGCTGGGAGCCAGCACAGACCCGCAGAGCTGGCCCAGGGGACAGGGACACATCTGCTGTGTGGGGTGGGCACTGTCACTGCCCCTGGGGGCTCTGAGCCCGGGCACCAAAGGGCTCCTGGGGAGGAGGGCGCGGGATGTCACAGTGACCACCGGTGACGTGGCCAAAAATGGACCCTGTGTCCCCTGCTCTGGGACATCTCCAGCCCTGGTGCTGGCAAGTGGCTCCCACCTGCTGCTTTCTGCTGGGGCTTCTGCTGCACCCAAAATCTGTGGGATCACCCCGCTGCCCTGCGCTCAGGCACCCCAGGACAGAGAGTGACAGCAGAAACTCCCTCCTCGCCACGTCTGCAGCCTGTCCGAGGCAGGATGGGAGATGTCCCTGAGGTCTCTGAGCCTGGGAAGGCCAGGACCCATGGCAGCAGATGGCTTTAGCATTAACTAACAGGGCTGGGTGGGCTGGGGGGACCCAGGGGACAGCACCAGGACACCGGGGCAGTGCTTCCCCTGCTGCCAAAGCCTGCCCTGGCAGCAGCACCAAGCACGGTGCTGCAAGGAGCTGCATCCCCTCCAGCCCCTCTCGCCACCCTACACCAGGCCAGCTCTATTTTTAGAGCCCACAAGTGCTCCTCTCCTCAGGGACCCTTTTCCCAGCACACAGATAAGGTCTGAACACAGCCTGCAGCTGCAGAGCCTCCCTGGCTCTGCTCCAGCACAGCAGCAAAAATCAGGTCCTGCTCCAGTAACCTGCAGAGAGGAGGAAGAGGAGGAGGAGGAAGAGTCTCTGGCCAAGCCAAAGCAGGAGTTTCCTGATGTAGAGACCCAGCTTGTGCAAGAGGAGCGATAAGACAACCCCATAGAGTTCTGACTCCGAGAAAAGCCCAGTCTGCAGCTTGAGAGAGCCCCGGGGAGGGGAGATGCTGAATCACAGCTCTGAAATGCAGTGGGAGGTGCACAGGGACCCCCATCCTGTGGCCACAGCTCTCCTGCCTCCGGCCACGCTTCCTCCTGCGCCAGGTGACGGCTGGGGCCGAGGGGGGCCGGGGGAAATCGGATGCTGGGAGTAACAGCCATTGTTTGTAGCTAAAATAAAACCCAGGCACAAAGAAATCCTTCCTGTTGGCACGGGCAGGGCCCTTGGCCGCTCTGCCTGCAAGGCACAGGGCTCCTTACAGCTGCCACCCGCAGCAAAGGAACGCTGAGAGCTCCGGGGATGCCCGAAATAGGTGGGGACAGCACCCAGAGCCACCCCAGCCCCAGGGGGAGCCCTGCAGGGAGGTGTCTGTGGCACAGACAGAGCCAGGGGAGGTCTCTGCAGCACACAAACCACACTCACCTGCCCGCAGGTGGATGTGGAGCCACCTGCGAGAGCCACACGGGGCTGGGACGTGTCCCCACGCCTCGCTGGCTGCTCTGGCACGGGCATCACCACGGGGGTGAGATGCTGGCAGCTCCCTCCAGCCCCAACAGCGCTGCTCTTTGAGGAAGCCCACGGCCTCCTGGGCACCTTGCTGAGCTCCCAGGGCAGTTCCTGTTCCCATTCCCATTCCCATTCCCATTCCCATTCCCATTCCCATTCCCAAGGAGGTTTCTTCCCGCCGGGGAGGAGGAAGTGCCTCTGTGGGGGTGGCCTGGCGCTCCCAGAATTGTTCCTTTGTGCAGGGGACGGGAGGACAGGGCTGCCTGCTCTGCTGTGGCACTGCCCTGGCGAGGGGCAGGAGAGGGGCAGCACTCGGCCCTGGAGGTGGCAGGAGGCAGGCAGGCTCTGCCCCCATCACTCAGCACCTGCTGGCTGTGGGGCAAACTGGGATGGGCTGCTAGGGGCAGGAACAGCAGCCTGGAAAACACT